TCTTTCCCAAATGAATTGTGATCATTTTGGAATGTAAATCACAAAATCAAAGATGTGAAAATGTTTGATAAACTTTATTTTGACATAAACACAACAATAACCCACTTCTGTGAACTAAAAACGTAAACATATAGCCCTACAAGTACAAATGTATATGTAAAAAAAAGCTTTTAGAACGTAAAACTGAAGATCATCTTGTCAGGAGGAGGAGGAGGATGCACAGCGGCCGCACAGCCCGCCGCACAGCCAGGGGCACCCAGGGGAAGCTCCGCAGCCAGACCAGACAGGCCCGGGTGCAGCCACGGGAACAGCCCTTCCTGGACCTTCAGGCGGGGGGGTTCAGGATGCTGGAGAGGGAGCTGGGCTCTCTAACCTCCCGGGTTAAAATAAAATTGAATAACTTACAATTTGTTGACAGCGTTTCTCCCGTGCGCGCGCGCTCTCTTTCTCTCTCTCTTTCTCTCTCTCGCAGTCTCACTCTGTTTCTTTTCTTTTGACTTTTCTAAGATGACAGATGCTGAATATATACTCCCTATCTGATGCTGTGGCTGTTTGTGGTTGGCTGAGAGGGATGTGAACTTATTAGATTGCAGCTGTGTTAATCAAATCAGGTTGGGTTTCCATTACGCGTGCCAAACGTGCCAAACGTGCCAAACGTGCCAATCCCCTTTGATCTGACATCAGATGTGACGGGACAGTCAGTATAGAGATACATTTATCGTCTCCTTAGCTGTAAAACGCTCACTCTTTCCAGTTGGTAGGTCTGCCATCTAACTAGCTCTCTGCCGTGCGCTCCAATCGCGCTAGACTCTACACCCAAAACCCAAACTCACAGAGTAAGTCCAACCCTTTTAGACTCTCCGCCATGGCGCACAGTCTGAAAACGCGCTGTCTAACTAGCAAGTGACTGGGACACACCCATGCGCTGCACGCCTGGTGCTTTGCGTTTTAGACCATCTAAATATGGCCCTTTGTGTTAATGGAACCAACCATACAAATTGTAATATGTTACTGCTTAATACTGTTAACTAATAAATGATGCTTGTAGACCCATAATGGATTACTGGGCAGGCCTACTGGGCACAAGTGTCAGGGGCCCCTGGTCTTCACTTGCAAAATGTCAAATGTCAAATTAACACCTAACAGACCAAGATGAAAATCAAAAATCAAAATGAACACAAAGAAACAAAATCATTACAATGATGGGCAAAACATCTACAAAGAGACACAAAACTACAAAGAGACACAAAACAACCACAAATTCTGCATATCATGCTCCTATGTAGGAGAGCGGGTGGGGCTCGTGCATATCTGGGCCCCGGGGCCCATTGTCTAATAATCTGCCCATGTCTAGAACTCTTGTATAAAAGCATTATTACACTTGAGGTTGTGCTGTGATTATCTTCAGCTTCCAGCCACACTCCCTCTTGTTTGATATTGTTGAATTTTTTTGATTAGCCTACCCGCTCTACTTCATTAAAACAGTTTTATCAACAAGTGCTTCATTTTGCATTGGCCCGAACACCTTAAAAATATTAAAATGGAAAGTAATTTGTACTCTCAATGTTACTTTGCTTTTCTCTGACTGATGGATCACAGGCGAGGGAATGTCCTGACACTGGGGGCTTTCCTATAGGTGTTTAAACATTATGACTCCAGGCAAGTGAAGGAGAGGATTTATTTTCATGCCTTTGCCCTCTGCATGTAAAAAATATGTTATTAGAGAAAACTGGTCTTCACATGTGCTGCACTCTTGAAACCATCAGGCATTAATTGCCTCTTCCTACATTAATAATTAAACCAGAATTTTATACTTTGCTTAATGAGCTACAAAAGAGTCGCCTTTGTGATATGCACTCTCGTGCCCCAGATGAGGGGGAGAAATCTCTCCATCATTGTGTAAGAAAATTACATATTCAACAGTATCATAGTGTTTCAGTATCATAATTGTTTCCAGTTTATTTAAATTCATTGTCATTAATAAGTATGTTGAGACAGCATGGATAGGAGTTGAATTTAATGGGTTGTCCATTACATGTTTTTGTCTTCAGTCACACCCTGATTCTTAAAGTGTGTGTGCATCTCTGAATGTGTGTGTCTGTGTGTTTTGAAGGATGGGAGAGAAAAGGGTGTCAGTGCGAGAGCGAGAGAGGAAACACTACATGTATGATTCTCCAGATGAAATGGAGGTACATTGTGTACTGAGAGATACTTTTCATCACCGTGATAGTGATTCCCTTTCATTTTGCTGAGAATCTCTCACATCAGTCGGCTACTTAAAGCAAAAAATGCAACACTCTCTCTGCAAAGAGAGCCTGAGGTGGGTTTCTGAAAAGCTTGAGAGCACAGAAGACAGGTCTATTTTTTCCAGCGTGAAATGGACCTCAAGCTGGGGTAGACAGTTTTCTGGAAAAGGGAAAAAAAGCCTAAATTTGAAAATACAGCTCTCCCGTCTCACCCTGTTCTCTTCCCAGGGTGTCAAATAGGTAGCTTGGTCAGCAGCTGTCTGCATATGATTCCAATGCACAAGGCTTTCAACTAACTCTGATGAAAATCCATGGCAATGATATGAAAAGAGCGAGACAGTTTGAATAGGCTTGAAGGGAAAGAGTGGTTGTCTGGTCAAACAAACACTGGACTTTCACCCAGGAGACCAATGTTAGTGTCCTGTGTGAGACACGTTGAAATTTTTTAAACTACACTACAAAGTGTCACACATACTACATAGTTTTGTTGCCTAACACCCGGGCCACACTGCCTGCATGAGCAGCATGTGTGTGTTTCAGAACCTCTTTTTTGTTTTTTCAGCCCCTGTGCCAACATGTTAGAGCAGCCACCATGTCCACATGAACAACATTGTTCAAGCGCAGCTGATGCAAAAATGACAGTGTAAATAATCTTTTGACAATCATATTGGCCTTTGACCACCTATGACCACCTTTCACTACAGTTTCAATATCTAGATCCGACAATTCTTGTGAAGTCCAGAAGTGGAGGACACAATTCATGTAAGGAACAGAAATTGACGTGCCGTCCCCTAAGGATCCTAAACAGATGCTCGAGGGACATGAAGAGCACAGTTTGAAGTGTAGGGCCACTGAACGAGCTGTTGTATTTGACGAGTTGCGAGTGAGAATGTGCTGCTCCCCTAGCATCTCTGTCCTATGCCCCTCCCACCTGTACCAGTTTTAGTCATTTATTTCAGTCATCCTGATTGTGATGCCATCATATAGCAACAGTTCTATGAAAATTACCGTCCTGTTTTCCTTCTGAACTTGCGAGACTGTAAAGCCCTTTGAGATGACAAACTGTGATTCAAGACTAGCTAGCTACATGGACATGAACTTGAACTAGCTGCGGCTGTGGACCTCTGGATACAGTTAGCAGAGGGCTACACTATTAGTAACATTTCACTTGTCAGACTCTTTTGGACTCGTTGATAAGTCTGTCTTCCTTTTTTGGGTTGCTTTGCAGAGTAGGCAGTTGTTACCAGTACTGAAATAGCAACCCTTTCTGCAGGATTCTCCACCTTTGAATCAGGCTTTCACGATCTGAAGGGACTTGGATGCACATCTGCATCTGTAGATGAACCAGTAGGAACGCCCTCTCTCTGAAATGACCTGTTACTGACCAAAGTCTCCTGTCACAGACTAGACTCTACAGCTTGAAAACAGAGCTGAGAGAAGGCATAGAGGTCTTATTTTCTCCCAAACCACTTGAATTACAATAGACTGAAAGGTTAAAGAATTTTTTTGACCCAGTGATGCCAAAACACTGCCTATCCCAGCTTTAATGCCTGCGCTGCTCCTCCTCACCAGCAGCTTTTAACAGCAAAAGAAGCATCTTCTCATCTTATTCAAATATTTTCATTCCTTCTTCAAAGTGAAGATGATCAGACAGAGAGGTGTCAAAAAAGAAAAGGAAGAAAGATTTATGTAATTCTTTTCGACAAACACAAATTAGATCATGGCTATTATCATATTCATTTGCATGGGGCCTCATTCAGCGAGATGCCAAATTACCACAACATAGATGTATTTCAATGGCTCCTACAAACAATATAAGGCTCATTACCCCAGTATGACCAACATCACCATCTCCTGACCTACATTTGTGTAATGAATTCAGCCGCATGTGCCACAACTGTGCTGGGTTGGAGGCAAACCCCTTCGGTATAATGTCAGCATCACAGCCAGTCAACCAGTGGCTTTACTCTGAAACATACAGTAGCATATTGCACTCCTATCATACAGCAATTTAAACCTTATAGAGAAGTTAAATAATATTAATCATATTATGAGCCTAACCCTTAACCCGGAGGTTCAACCAGCTTTAACGAGACAGAAAAAAAGTCCCTGTAATCTTTATATTATCATCAAAATATTCATTAAAGTAGGGACTAGATAAAAGACAGCTCTGTAAACTTTTATTAAGCTGTGATCAGTGACCTTGAAGAACTGAAAATGTGTGTTTTAGGGTTTTAAACATAACGTGCTTCTTGCATCCTTCAGCTGTTTACTCACCCTGAAAATCAGTTTTGGCACCCTGGGGCTTCATGCAGGTTTTATCCATGTGGACTATTGCACTTAACATGCTTAAAACCACGTGAAGCTCTTCTTATGTCTCCAGAGGGACTTGAATATTGTCTTGGCTATATAGTGACCTTATCATAGTCTTTCTGTGACATCTCCATCTCTTATGGTGCCATTACAATAGTGCTGTTGGGACTTATGCGGTTCCTTTGGCGATCACAGGTGACCTTATCATACTGTCCTGCATTTATGCTGTGGACCAAGATTGTCCGCGGAGCTGTTTGATCTTGTTTTAGATATTTGAACCTGTGATATTTGCTTTAGTTGAAGTAAAAATATCATACTTCACTGTCGTTTGGAAATAAAATGCAACGCCATCTGTCCTGCGCCCTCTGATCCGTGCGTAATGGGAACAAACACGGACCGGTGGTGTGGTTATTTTAAAAAAGAAATGATTGTCAAACTTACCATATTTTTTTTCTTCATTTGGTGAATATCTCTCCTCTTTCTCTCTGATAAAAGCTGAGCACAAAAGAGATCAGGGAATCCCAGCAGCGGTGTCCTTTATTTACGCACGTCCAGTACAAGCAAGCGAAACACAGACTGAGGGAACCGGCGGACAGCTTGAGTAGCTGATGTAGGAGCTGGGATTGCTTCACATCTCATCTAAACACAGTTAAACAGATGTAATTTCAGCTGTCCCGCAAACTTGAGAGACTCGAATTTATGGCATTCTGCTTCAAAAATGTCTTTCTCTCAAAGTTCAATCCCTAAAATGTGTGAAAAGTGTAAAAAGTGTGTTGCCGTCGGAGCTCCATCTGATGCATCAAGGCGCAGCTCATTGTGGGTTGTCTCCAGTAACAATCAAACCCCCCGGGGAGAGACACGGGGGCTTCCCGGTGCTGATGCGATCCGCTCTGCTCCGGGAGAGATCAGAGAGACGTCAACAAGTTGCATTCAGATCTGCGTCTCTGGGAGGTTTTGATGGGACTGGCTGCGCGGCAGATCTGCTCTGTGCGCCCCCCACACACTGTGAGTGATTTTAATCGACTGCAACCACGGGCGTGTGTTTCCAAGTAAGTCAGTGGATTTCTTTGACAGTCCATTTCTTGTGACTGTACACAGCGAGGAGGTGCTCAAGATCAGGTGCAGGGACCTTCCAGAGGCCCCTGGCAGTTTAAAATGGCCCCACTGCAAAACTCAGCTGAATTTTTATTCAACTTTTAAGTCACTTGTAAATATGAATACTGATCATTTTCTAAAGAATATATTGTCTGACTAAATCCTCATCAGGTTCAATGAATTGTGAGACAATCCCAGACTTCTTATATATATTTCAGTCCTTACTTTAAAGGGATGCTGCACCCAAAATCTGTCGTTTGAATATCAAACACTGACCCCATGCAGACTTTAAGTGTGGCAAACCTTTGTGGTTTTTCACAGCGAATGACAGCTGTGAACTGCTTGGATTCAAAGCAGGATTTCAAGTTTTATAGTAGGAAAAAGTACATTAAAACATCCAAAGAATATCTCAAACATTCCAGGCAGTATAATATCCTGCTTCTGTTCAGTCTGGATCTGCACAAACAATCTCTTTTTGAGCCTTACAGTAGTTGCATGTGTAGGTTTCATTAAAATTTTATGATTTCTAAAGCCTCGTCCTCACACATTACTCTTATGTCAATACAGTGCTGATGTGATACGCACTTTAATGCTGAAGCAGCATGCATTGAGTTTGTACTAGTTTTACAGTGAAAGTGCATGCATCAGTAACAAACAGAGTCACTGTTGCAATGCAGCATGACTACAAATTAGTAGCAGTCTCTGTGTGTTGCACTGTAAACAGAATAAAACCACTGGCACTTTTACCGAGCAGTCGTTAGTATTTTTTCTCTGAAAACTGTATCTTAAATTGCTAATGATTTCTATTAAAATCAAGAAGTAATATGTTCTTCTTGCAGCATTAAGGCATTTACACACTGAGAGGAAGACCTTTTTTGTCTATACTCGTGAGAATTGTAAAAAAACACAGAGGCTCTGAAGCCTTATCAAAACCAACAAACTTTATTACACCTTTCAACCTTGACTAAGGCAGCCTGATCTTACCTTTTGTGATAAAAGTCCTAGATATATATCCTGCAGGACCTCAATTTCAATCTGCATTTTGCTAAAAGGGAACTCATTAAATAGCTTACAGTAGCTTACATTGTACAACAACTTGTCTTGTCAGATGCTGCTCTGGGTCAATATGATCTCAGGAGTTGTTGCATATTTGCGTTGCTGCTGGCAAATCTGTTCACATCAAAACCTTTCATTTAACAAGTGTTGCAACTGTTGCAAATTTACATCGCTGCAGGTATGAATAGTTCTGATGCAAATATTCGCAGGTGAGTATTTTGCATTTTCATGTTGTATATTTGTCACATCCCCAGTGTGGAAAGGCCTTCAGTGTAACCATATCATTTTAAAGCTCAAAAAACTATAAAGCTGTAAACTGATGTACAGATTAAGATTAAGTAATTATTGAATAATAATAATAAGCTTTATTTATACAGCTCCTTTCATACAAGAACTGCAGCACAAAGAGCTTTACAATAAGGGCAGTATAAGCACTGAGTGCTTCATGTGAAAATAGACATAATGGACATAAAACAGACAAGGCAATTCAATATAAAATGACATTTAAAACAGTTTAAAACATGGTTTAACTGATTCATAAAATCATAAAGTTGTAAAACTATAAATCATAAAACCAAGTTAGATTTTAAAAGAGTTGCAGCAGTGTGAAGTTTAAGTTGAAAGTAAAAGAGTAAGAAGAAATAGTGTCAGACCTGCATCAGGAAGTCACAGCTGGTTAAAGGCTAAAATGAACAGATACGTTTTTAGCTTTCTTTTAAAGATATTTTTAGCTTCCCTGATATCTATATGTAGTGTGTTCCATAGCTTTGGGGCGTCATTGACAAAGACTGCATCCCCAATCTTCTTTTGGCTGTTACTGGGAACCTCCAATAAACTAGCAGCAGATGACTGCAGTTTTCTTGGAGGCAAATAGTTAACAAGAGAGTTAGCAATGTAGCTTGGTCCCAGCTGTAGGGCTTTGTATTCAGGGAGGAGGAGCTTGAAATCAATTCTAAATGTAACAGGAGGTCAGTACAGAGCAGCTCAGACTGGCCTGATGTGCTCTCTCCTCTCAAGTTAATAGCCGAGTAGTCTCTATATACAGACTCTACATTCAGTGAATGTAGAGTCTGTTGGCAAACCCCGGAGATCTTGCCTCCGGAAGAAGAGCAGAAGAGCCCTGGTTTCCAGTTGTAGGCTGTTTGTAGTCCGCATGATATTGACCAATCATGTTTGAGCTGGCTGCAGTTGTTGCCAGGTTAAACGGTCCGTGCGTTGAACTAACGAGGCGGAATATAATTGGCGTCACTGCAAACTCTGAATCCATCGCAATGGTTCAGCATATTTACTTATATATAAACGGAATTCGGAAATGGAAATTCGTCTCCTACGCCTAAATCAAACTAGAATTCCAAAAAATAGGGGTTCTGCCCCCAGAGGCTGTATCGCTGTCTGCCTGAAGTCAGACGTCGAATACAGCCGATGGGTTCCGAGGATGATAGCTGAGCTGCAGAGTTTTTAATGAGCTGAAGTCTCTCAGTGGTGTTTTTTGGGAAGCCAGTAAAAAGTGTGTTACAGTAGTCAAGTTGGCTCTTGAATAAAGGCATGAATCAGTTTCTCAGCATTTTTTTGATTTGGAAATGGTCGTACCTTAGCTTTGTTTATGTGTTGGAGAAATTATGTTTTTGTCACCATGTTAATGTGGGACTTGAAGCTTAGATTGGAATCAAGGATCACACCAAGACTTGTAACCTTAGACTTAATACAAGGAGTAAAATTCCCCAATTCTGCTTAGACTGTTTGAGCAGTCGGACTTATTATGTCAAAAGTGTGTCACAGATTCAAGCAGAGTAATGAGGACAATTGCAGCTCTCAGCTGATATGTCCCCTTCCCTGTCCTGAGGCAGGGACTGTTTACTTATGAGACTGCAGAAACCTGGTTTTTGACTGCTGTTTGCCAGTTTCCAATGAAATCCACTTATTTCCACAAGTTGAGGGAACTACCCTGAGAGAGAAACACTGAAAATGTCACTGATGAAAAACCTGCATCTCAGCCATTCTTACATTAACTACACCAAACTGCAGAGATATTTACTGAGATTCTGCAAGCGTGGCAATAATAGGCGACAACAAAGACTGAGCAGCTGCCATAGGAAAACTTCTTTGACCCCTGCGGAAGACTTTGACAGCTTCTTCTGGATAACATGGCTGAAATTGAGGATTAGGGATCACACATTGGACATCAAAGTGTAAGCACATATAGCACATGTCTCGGAGGAAAAATGACCAAGAAAGAGTCCCCTAAATAATGCCATTGCCTCATGGAGCGTGCAGAATTCAGCATTAGGTTGCCATAGACACTCTCTCTTCTGTTTTCCCTGGATCACTTGTAAAGAAAATGCACAATTGGGCCGTTATTGACGACATGGTTAAACGTGTTTGTCTGTTAGCAGTCACCTTCATTTACACTGATATTTTCCATTAACTAGATCATCACACTGCTCCGTTTCCTTTGGTTATCAGTGAATTAATCTCAAGAGAGTTCTCTGAAAAGCTCCACTTTTAAGTAGGAATAAAGTGTCTTAAAATTATTTTACATGCTCCGCACTAATTCGCAGAAAGAGCGGTCTTGTTAGTTCATTAAATACTTTGATTAAACTGCTTTTTTCTCTCCCATCTTCTGTATATTTTATCTTTAATTGAATCAATAGCAGCTCCTTGAAAGCTAATTAGCAGGCTCTTCAAGTATAGAAAATGTTAATGAAGAAATGGAGCACATCACTTGCACACATGTAGGCACACAGACGTATACACACACACACACACACACACACACACACACTTTATGGGCTTTCTTAAGTGGAAACAAAAACTGCTGGGCTCAAAATGAACAGATTTGTCTTTGATGCCATCATCTCCATCCCGGGGAAATGGAGCGACCACATGGGAATGAAAAACAGTGCAGGCTTGTTTTGCAGTTTAGCTCTTTGAAATACTTCTCTCTGAATGGAGGGTCAGAAATGTGTCTTTCCTTGGCAGCAGCGAGATGTTCTACTATTTCAGTTAAAGGTTCAATTGATGAGTTTTTTTTTTGTCTTATTATTTTTAAGAAAAGTGTGGCTTCTGCAGCACTTTCAGGAACAACAAGTCTTTGTTTTAAAAGGTGGAGAAGAGGCCATCTGAAGTTTGAAAGTTTCTCTCTCCCCAGTAGACACTGGACAGGTCAACTGGTGAGTCTGATATGAAAAGACAAAATAAACCCTGGGTGGCTTGATCCTTTTTTAGAGCTGCCAGCTGCCTCCAGGTGTGTGTGACAGAATTATAAATTTATTGCATTCATTACAAGTCCTTTTTTCAACAACTAGCTTAAGTGTGTTGTCCTTCATTTAGGATGTGATAGACCTTTACTAATAACTACAATGGCATTATAGTGTCTTCAGGTGTCTGTTGGAAATATCAAAACAAGCTGAGAACCATAGACTGTAAAAAATAGTGGCTGAAGCTATATACTGTGACATCACCCACTGGTTTGTGGACTCCCATTTTGAGGCCTTGAGTTCAGCATTACAGCTGTTGGCATCTTGGGTTGGTTTTTTTTGAGCCAGAAGTGACCATATTTGGGTGAGAGGCTGGTGCCGAGGAGGAATGAGGGGTGGATCTGAGTGACGAGCTGAGGAAACTATAGACAAAAATATAAACGGTTGAGATATATAAAAATTAATCCCCCGTCCAGATGCCATGAAGGGGAAATTAGCATCCGAGACCTAAACCATCCTATTTAGTTGGGCATTTTACCATGGGTGTCTATGAGGACTGACTGGCATTCGGAGCCAGCCTCAAGTGGCCATTCAAAGAACTGCAGTTGTTGACACATATTGTTGGCTTCCTT